ACGTGAGTATAAACGACGACGGCCGTGGACGTCGGCGGCGGCGATGGCGCACACACGACTTTAGCCAGACGGCTACGGCGACGCGATTTCGATGGCGGCGAGGGCGCACATTACGACGACGTACTTAAAAAACAGCAACGCGAAAAGTAATAATGATTACTAAGTAACGTCTCACATGTTTCGGAAAAAAAAAACGAGAGCGAACGAACGCACGCACGACACAAAACAATGATATCTTATCATACGATACGAGTAGTGTTAAGAGGAGGCAACGCCGGGCGCACGGTAACGAACAACTTGCGAAGCGACGTAACACGACCGGTTCGTTGATATAAACATCGCGGGGCGGGATCACAAGTTCACCGCGACATCCGTCAAGCGCTGATATTACCGTACCCAACAAATGCAAAACACGGGTTGTTTTGGTATTGGAATGTGGTTCTTTATTCTTACGTAAATGCAAATGAAATTGATTTATGTATGTTTACAATTTTTTCTTTTCATTTACAAAGTGCTCGTTGAGCCACAAATATTTAAATATTTATTTTGAATAGTTTACAATATATTCTTTTGGTTTACAATTGCTCGTGGAGCTACAAGTATTCGATGGTATATTATAAATGAGGGGTATGACTCACGTAGGTGCCTTGAACAAACAGCCGACTCTGCTGGTGGTGTTTGGGGAGGCGTATAGTACCTGGATATTACTGTCGGGCGTTGGCTCGTCCTCGACGTATATCGTACTTCTCCTAAAGTGACGTCTTTTCCCAGTAATGATGTGGTATGTGGTCGAATTGGGTTGCGGCGGCGGCGTGGTGTCTGTTAATACAGACAGGTGGCGGCAGGTGGCGCGTCCTGTGATGACGGCGACGGCACTTTAAAACTGGTGCGTACGGTTGCGGCGACGCACAGTGGGAGGAATACGTGTTCTAGCTGGCCAAAAATAGAAAATTTAGGTATTATAATTAACGATTAATACTAAAAATATTTGCACCCACTGATATGACGATGGTAAATATATCACATTATGTAATAATTGTTAATTAATGAGCTGATAGGAGTAGGTATTGTACTTAAGATTATTGCATTCAGCGCAATCACTTGTTATTCGTACATAGCTTTCATTTTAGTTTGTCCGTTGTCGTTATTTCATGAGTATAAATGTAATTGTTTTTTGCTAAATCAAAAATGGATCAAAAAACAGACATGAGTAAGTTACATTTGTTCTAAGTACTATTTATTAAGTAATATGTCGTAATAAAAATTCATAGATATCATGAATCTAAAGAAATTCCACTTTATTTAATTTTCATTGTGTAGACATTTTTTTTAGAGGCTCTTAGAGGTTTGAATTTTGTTTTAGTTTAAGCATATATATGTACACTTTGAATTATTTCATTTATAAGTTGCCCCAATTTGCCCCTTATTGAAATAAATTTATTTTTCTAGATGAATGTAGCATCGTAAAAAATCGCTGTTTATTTGAAGTTTTAAAAAATAATAGTTTTACTTTAACATCAAGTACTTATGAATCACGAAATGCAATGATTGCTTACATAACTCATAGGCTGGGAGAAAAATCGAATTTAGAAGGCAATGAGGAATTTGATAAATGTATTCAAAATAAAGTTGAAGGATTTAGTAGTACGTTAAAGAAGAAATGGTTAGATTCAAATCGGTGTTTGACTAAATTTTTAAAAAAAAATGATAATTGGTTGGATTTAGAATTTAAAATTCCATTATTGAAAAAATGTGAAGAATTGTATGAACCTTCCACAAGTTCTGGTAGGCCACGTAAATCTTTTTTAGAGTCAAGTGATCGTTCTAAGCGCAGGCAAATAAAAAACCTAAGAGAAATAACTTCATCAGATGAATTAATCTGTGCAGCAAAATCGACATTGTATGTTGAAGGGAAACGTGCTGCAGCCGATCTTGTTTCCCAGGCAACAGAGTATTCTCCCCAACGTGCAATAAAGATTAGAAAATTGTATAAAAATGAAGCGAAAAATAAATATACTTCTTACACAGATGATGAGGCTGTAGCATTTATCATCGATACTCACATGACTAAAAATGCGTATCACAAAACTAGATTAGGTGCTAAAAAACACGGAGCTGACATATACCCTTCGTATGATAGAGTTCGATTAGCTAAATATAGATGTTACCCTGAAAGTATAATTATAAGTGAAATAAGTGCGTCAGTTCCACTTCAAAATTTGTTGGACCATACAATTAAACGGTTATGGGAAACATTAGATTTTGATGATACAATTGATTATGCGGAAGAGTATTCCGAGCTCAAATTTATATGTAAGTGGGGGTGCGATGGTAGTTCGGGTCACAGCGAATACCACCAAAGTTTTCATGATATAGAAACTGATGATACCGAGTGCAGACAAAATGCTATAACTGACAGTAGCATTGTTTTATTCTGTATTGTGCCATTGCGTCTTACAGGAGTTATTAAGGTTTCGAACACTCGAGTTATTTTGTGGGAAAATCCGACACCCTCTTCTACCCGATACTGTAGACCTTTAAAAATTTTACATGCAAAAGAAACTAAAGAAGTTACAAATACTGAAGTCGGAAGAGTAGAGAAAGAAATTATGGAATTAAAATCTGTCGAGTTAAATATTAACAATAGTGTTTTATGTATTAACTACACAATGCTTATGACAATAGTTGATGGAAAGGTTATAAATACATTGACCGAAACTTCGAGTCAACTTTGTTATATTTGTAAATGTAACCCAACTAACATGAATGATTTGGATAACATAAAACGTTTTGTAGTTAATGAAGATAATGTTAAGTATGGAATGTCAAGTTTACACGCGTGGATAAAATTTTTAGAATTAGTATTGCACATTGCGTATAAATTAGAATCGGCTCCTACTACGAAACGAACAACTTCCGAACAAAAGAAGAAAATTGAGGAAAAAAAGAAGGAAATACAATTTCGTCTTTGGAATGAATTAGGTATTAAAGTTGATAAAGTTGTTCAGGGTAGAGGTACGTCTAATACAGGAAATGTAGCTAGACGGTTTTTTAGGAACACAGAAAAAGTTGCTGAAATCACTGGAATCAATTTAAATTTATTAAACCGATTCTCCTATTTTAACAGTTATTTCTTGTGGTTCTGAAATAAATTATGATGAATTCGAAAACTATGCAAAAGATACTGCAGAACTTTATGTCAAACATTATAATTGGTACAGAATGCCACCAAGTATACACAAAATTTTAATTCATGGCTCATTAATTATAAAAAATGCTCTTGTACCGATTGGGCAGTTGTCGGAAGAGGCTCAAGAGGCAAGTAATAAAAACTACAATCGATTCAGAGAACATCATTCTCGAAAATCATCACGTATTCATACAAATACAGATATTTTTAATTTCTTATTAGTGTCATCTGATCCATTAATTACAAGTTTAAGAACACAACCTAACAAATCACATACTAAATTACCTCCAGAAGCCATTCATTTACTTAACATCGAAAGCTCAGAACTGAATGAAATAGAAACTAGTGATAGTGAAATAAATAGTAGTTATTCTGAATAATTATTTATGTTTTTATATTTATTAATTTTTTAGTTATCCAATTAAGTACCAGATAAATTTAATTTTTAAATTTCATACATAAATGTTTATTATAAAAAATAAAACGATTTTGTTTGTAATATTATTATTCAAATTCAATGTCAACGTTTAAACAAATAATAAATTATAAATATTTGACTTAAGTTATAAAATGAACTAATATTATTGTTATTTGGTGATGTTTTGTTTTTCTTGATAGTAATAAATGATAAAGTAATAAATTCTGTTGAAATACAATTTAGTATATATGTAATATTTATATACCTATCATTTATGTATTGATTTTTGACCTTATTAATTTTGGCCGGCTAGAACTCATATTCCTCCCACTGTGCGACGGCGCGTTGTGGCGGCGGCAACGGTAACGCACACACAACTAGCCGCTGCTGTTGGGCGTCGGTGGCTTGAACAGTACGTTTTTAGGCGTACCACCACCGATGCTTACCAGAGGGTGTTGTTGTGAGGGTTCTTCCTCTCCATCGCTTTTAGTATGAGTGGCTTGAACAGTACGTTTTTAGGCGTACCACCACTCACACTGCGAGTATCGGGAGAGGGATAGTGCGGGAGACGAGAAGCGCGATACGATTTTGTTAAAACATAAACGGATAAAACTGTGTTATGGATTATGTGGTGTTTTGAGTGTATGTCGTGACCAGTATATCTGTGGTTCACTAGTACCTTATGCCGTTTGAATTTGTGTCTTTACGGTACGTGTTTAACGTGGTTTATGAGCTGTTGTAGTGCTTATTACTCTTGGGCGGCTATGACTGTTGGTTTCGGGATTGTGTCCTAAGTATAGTCCCGGCATAGATTATACGAACTTTGTCCGCAGCTTTTGACAAAGTCGCATAATCTGATGCCGGTCGTAAAGCTTTGTTGCCGACGCGCTCTCTGTGTGGCGTCTTGGCGGCACTCTTGTTTTTACAAAGTAGGTGTTTTCTAATGCGGTTTGGTTACAACGACATCACGGTGTGTTGCATTGGTCTCTAGTACTGTTTGGGATTGATGTTTGCGCTTTTCCGAACTTGTAATAAGTATTTATTACAAGTTTACTGTAAGTAGGTACGTACGTTTACCACGATGAACATCGTGGTATCTTGATGCGTGCATAGATGGCGCCACGTATTTCGTCATTCATAAATGTATCGATAATTGTGTATCGTTACAAGCTACCAACTATTAATAATTTTTTTTTTTAGGTTTTGGTAGCTCTTAATTTTTTGCCACTGGTAGCTACCAGACCCCAGCTGGTAATAGCCGATTTACTTCGATATCTCAGAGTTCTGTATCTCGATGTATCGAAGAAGTTACTACTGCATTAAACGAGGATGATATTTTTGGTTCTTGGGTAAAATTTCCTGGTAATATAAGAGAACTTAGGAAAGTCCGCAATGAGTAAGCTTATACTTATATATCAGTTCTAAATAAACTATATAGGTACTGATAAACTTGTTATCTTGATCAATCTTGATCCAGTTTGCTAAAATATAAGTTGAAATCGAAGCACACTTTCTGGTAGAAATTTTGTATACAGGATTAAAAAAAAAAACCATTGTAAAACCACTAGATCCTTCACTAAGCTCAGAATCCAAAATCATTAGGGTCTATGCTGCTGATACAGTTCTTTCACCTCCCCCCTCCTCCTGAAAAATATCCCTAGTTGTGTCTATAATACAGTAATGTTAGAATACATTTAAAATAATGGGCTGCTGAACTAATATATTATATTATATAATACAGTATTTTACAGTTACTTTTCTTTACTATTTAATTGAAATTTCACCAAAAATTAATTAAACTATAATTACAAAATTTTAGATTTTATGAACAACTGGTTTTCAAGGTTGTGTTGGATGCATTGACTGCACACATGTGGCTATTGTTCCACCTATTAAAGATCCATTTAATGCAAATCCTGAATATATTTATATTAATCGAAAAGGATACCATTCAATAAATGTCCAATTAGTTGAGTACCTATTTACATTCACTTAATTTGATTTGATAACTTTCTTAACTATAAATGCAAGGACAAGCAAGTTATAATTAAAAATTAATAGTTATCTAACCTTAATTTATTAACCTAACAAAATACCTTTATGTTTCTTTTCAATGTATTAAACATAGACCTATAAACTAATGGACAGGCGGTTAGCGCTTTCCACTCCGCTCTGCCATCAATGCTAGACGGTCATACAACCATATAACAGAGAGAGAAAAAACATAAAGTAGTGAAGGAGCACCACACTTTGATTCTTTTCTTGCTCACACTATATCCTACCCCTAACCTCTCTATATAAGTGCTGTCAATTACTTTATAGGTCCATGGTTTTAAATATTGAATTAAATGTGGAAATACAAATTTTGTTTAAGTTAAAAGTTAGAAATTAATTTCATTAGGTACTAAAACAAAACAAATTTACTGATACAAAATTTATATTCATAGTTTTGAATTGTCATACATAACAGTTTTTTTTTTCCAGATATGTGATGCAAAGCTCAGAATTTTAAACGTTAATGCACTTTTTCCTGGGTCTACAAATGATTCATTTATATGGAACAGTTGTGATGTACTTCCTGTAGTAGAGCAACTTTATACAAATGGTCAACAAGGATTTTTTTTCTTTTGGGTACCTATATAATTGAAACTGATTTAATTACCTAACAGATCTTACCACGTATGATTAGAAATTATAATAAAAGTTAATATCTGAGAAAATATTGGTAACCAATCGAGGTTTGATGATGAAAGCATTAAGAAAATAAAAATTATGTTTGAAAACCCATGAACAATTTTGTAATAAAATATGCATTTTTCAGGTGATTCTGGATATGCATTACGCCCTTGGTTATTAACACCTTTTAATAATCCAGTTACTGATGTTGAGCAGTACTATAATAAAATGAAAATGTCAACTCGAAGTATCATAGAAAGATGCAACGGGATTCTTAAAATGAGATTTAGGTAGGATTGAAAGTTAATATTAGTTTTTATCTACCTGTATAATATTGATTATGTTATTTTTCAAATACTTTTAGATGTCTTCTTAGACATAGATTTCTTCATTATCACCCAGAAAAATGCACTAAAATTATAAAAGCTTGCACAGTATTACATAATATATGTATAACAAACAATGTACCATTGCCAGTAGAAGAAGGGCCAATAGACATTGATATGGGTATAATTCAACAACAAGGTGGTCCAATTATTGATCAGCGTTTTGCAGGCAATGATTTGGTCCAAGGTAGACAAGTACGTTCAATAGTTGCAAATTATTTACAAAGAAACAGATTGCATTTATAAGGAACATATTAATTTATTATTTTAAAAAGCAAATGTAAACCTTTTAATAGTAAAAACTTGATATTATTTATACTTTACTATTAGTTATTACTTATTACTCATTAGAGATCTACTTATATTATTATTGAATATCAATAAGAATTATATTTATATTTATTATTTCTTTAATGTATTATTAATATTTAATTATTAATATCATTAGTTTATTTATTATTATTTTAATTTTAATTTCTAATGTCTATTAAGTATTATACTATTATGTATGTAAAAATTAAATAAAAAAGAAAACATGTTATTAGATTAAATAAAAAATGAAAAACTAGTAAATAAAATTGTTATTTAAAATTTTAATAAAAAATGAATTACTTTTAAGTATTAAAATAAAATAAGATAGAATTAAATGATTTAGAAAAATAATAGGTTAGTTAAATTCTGTTTGTTAATGCAACTGCAATGCGATTAAAAATGTCATTTCTTTGTCTCAATATTTCATTTTGTTCTCTCAATAACTCTAACTTTTTTTCATTATAACTGGCTTTTAAAGCAAGTTTTTTTTTTTCCAAGAGAAACAAGATTTGCTGCAGCACTGTTACCATCATCTAATCTTCGAGCCGTAGTTGATTTTTTTGTCTTTCTTTTATTTGTAGCTTTAATTTCTAAATGCAAAAACAGATAAATTAAAATAAGTTTAATAATAATGATACTTTTTTGTTATTGTACTAGGTCAGGTTAATTTTAGTTTAGTTTTACATGATAATAGTCAATACAGATGTAGAAACATCTAAACAATTGTGTAACATTTAATATTAATAAACATAATGCTCCCGAGTGGCGCGTAGGTACGGTAGGTATAGAAGATACACCAGGGTTATTAAAAGGCCCTCGTGAAACGTATATTGACAGTACGTGTAACAGTGATGATGACATAATAGATACAATATTATATTAATGTCGGAACACAAACGGTCGTCACGTGGTCGCGTTGAAGATGTGGCGGGTTGCGTATGAGCGGGTCATGTCTTCGAATGTCATGTGTTCGAAGGTCATGTTTTCGAATGACGAGTGTTAGAAAAGTTATTTGTTCGAATAGTAATGTAATCGAAAAATTATTTGTTTGAAAAATAAATGTTCGAAAAGTTGTATGAACGAAAATTATTTATTTAAATTAAAAAGCTATCTAATATTATAAAAATTAATAAACATAAAATTAAAAAAAAATATTTTGAAAAATATATATATATATTGTATAATATATAATTTTTTGTACGATTGTAATAAATTTGTGAAGCCCTGAATAAAGTGTTGAGAGATAAAGTGTTAGATCAGAACTTCCGAGAACAACTAATACAGCTGAATCGTGGCGTGGAAAGTTAAATCGACTTACATCCCTCATCCAGGTAAAAATCATATGTTTATATTTGTTTTTTTATAAATATTTTATTTCATATATTTTATTCAGGGTTTCACTAATTTATTACAATCGTGCAAAAAATTCAATCTGAAACAGAATCACAGATTGAAATGTTAATATCCGGTCATCAAATAAAGAAAAAGAAATATGGTGTGGACCGCAATATGAGATTGCAATCAATTCAACAGCGAATAATCGACAATCCTAAATATTGTAAATTGGAGTTTTTAAAAGCAATTGCATATAATTTAAGTTTTTAATTATTGATTTATAACTGCATAGGTATATTTTTCCAAATATTTTTTTTTTAATTTTATGTTTATTATTTTTTATAATATTAGATAGCTTTTTAATTTAAATAAATAATTTTCGTACATACAACTTTTCGAACATATATTTTTCGAACAAATAATTTTTTGATTACATTACTATTCTAACAAATAACTTTTCTAACACTCGTAATTCGAAAACATGACCTTCGAACACATGACTTTCGAATACATGAACCCCACCCGCGCCACTCACCGGCGCTACACGACCGGCTCACTGCGAACACCAGAACACCATCGCCGTAGCCGCGTCAACAGCTATAAAATACAACTAACCTAGTTTATAGTCACCATCACAATCAAATACTGCATAATCTCCAGTTGCTTGAGTGGTAAGAAGATCAAGTGTTTCCATTTCGGATACACTATACACCGATACATTTTTGGATGGTCCACCACCAGTTTCTTTAATATAGGATTTTTCAGCAGTCACTTTTTGTTTTAGTGTTTTTTTTATATTATCCCATTTCTTTTTTAATATATTCGATGGACGGTGTTCAAGAGATATACTGTTGCAATTATATTCTTTACTTAAGTCTTCCCAACTACACTGTTCTTGTTTCCATGTTAATGAATCCGATTTTTTGCATTCAATTTTGTCCCATCGTTTATGTACCAATGTTTTCAGCAACTCGACTTCGTCTGATGAAAAATTAGTACTTCTCTTGGCCATCTTTCTTCCCAAAAAAACTATATGCAACTATTTTTATATTTATTATTTAGCAATTTCGTTCTTGGTTAAAAAAATGTACTTAACTGTTTTAAATGCTCACATCAATAATTATTATATCACATTTTCACTGATAACATACTGTTTTGTACAATATCACGTACGCTTAAAGTGATTGTATACTGATAAGCCATGGAAGAATAAACAATATAGCCATAATAAGGCTTAAGCTAAAGCTTAGCTAAGTAGAAGTTTTAAATACTCTGACACGGTACGCAGCGGCAACCAGTACAAAGTACAGGTACCGCAGCGGCCGGTCTACGTTTTTGTCAACCGCCACCACGGGCTACAGCGCGACATCGCCAACTCTCCCACCGCGCCTCAAAGGCACAAGGCGGGACGGGAAGGCAAGTCGCGCAATACGAGTACCGGCCGCCGGCAATTCGATCTATCGCCCTACGACCGTTGTATCGTTTACGTGTACACACCACGGCACCCGACTATCGCACGGACACACCGAAAACCACGATTGTAATCGTATCAGCATCCGGACACACGGTGTCATCGTGTATATTGTTCGACCGTGTTTCACAAATAAAGTTTATTTTAATCAAGCCGAAACAAAACCTGTGTAAAGTTTCTTTTCTAAGAGTCACCTTCTCGGCTCTCACCACCAACACAACGACCGGCTGGTTGCGACCTTGCTACGCCACCACCGAAGCCGTGTCAATTGGCTCCCCGCAGAGGAATCTCCTCAATTCAGCGACAAGGTAAGAGTTTTCACGCTGACACATACCTCGGATTAACTGCTTATATTTAATTAGTAATAAGTTATTCGACCAGGAGTGTGTTTGCCGGTTAGCTAGGACCCCATAGAGAACATTACGTAACAATTATTTTTAGTACGTAACAGGGAAATCCACGCAGCCGTGCATAACCGTGATACGGATTGGGAAGTAGTTATATAACAACCACCACCCCTCCGCAACGCCTACCTTTCGCACCGCGACATTATCGCCGATAAAAACAGAGCGCGCAGGCCAAAAACCGGTTCAGCCGCCGCAGCCGACAGCTGCCACCACCGAGGTCGTTGACCCAGTACCACTATTTTTGGTACGCAACGGCGGCACTGTCGTCAGCTGATCTGTTACACAATCATAAATAATAAATATATAAATTGTCGTAGCTAGCGCGCGAAATTTAGCGAAAAAACAGAAAGCCTCCTCAAAACCGTGCACACCGCGCAACAAGCACAATCCACTGACCATACAACAGCGTAACGACCACATCGGTAAACAATTTTACACAATGTCGGAAAAAACGTTACAGCAGTTGTCGTCGGCGGAGCTACGTAGCGAGTGCACGGCCCGCGGCCTCAGCGCATCCGGGACGAAGTCGGATGTGTACGTCCGGCTAGAGGAGCACCTTAGGGCAAGCGGACTAGTCCCCGAGAATGTGAAGTTCGTAACAGTGCAGCCTGGAACCGTAGGATTCCAGGGCAGTACTGAACAACAACAACACATGACATCAACGCTGGAAAACACGAACGCCAGCCAGATTTTCGGACAACCGTCTGGGGGGATTTTGACAAGCCCAACAGCAAGTCAAAAACTCACAGACAACCGGCCAGAAATCGGCGGCTTCCAGTCGACCATGCAACAGGGCCAGTCCGCACAACCTGTAAAAACAGACATTTTCGAAACCGCGGCGAAACAACTACAACAGTTAAAACAAATGTTGCCACAAACGAACGACTCAACATCGTTCGAGGCACGTTTAGGGGCGTTGGAAGCGAGCATGACGCGGTTCTTCACAGAATCGCGCCAGGCAACCACCCAACCGCCAAACAGTGTAGCAGCCCCGCGGTTAGATAACCACCCGTCACCCGTACAGATGCCAAATCGTACACACGATAGTCACCAGTCGGGTAGGTCATATGAGCTCAATGACGGCGGCGCTCAACACAGCGCCAGCCACATCGCCGACGCGAACAACCGACCGTTTTTCGCGCGCGAAACCAATGACTATACGGGTCACACCACACGCGCGCCACAATACGCGCCGTACGAAGCACGCGCGCATGAACGCTCGGTACTAATACCGTACGACGACTTGCGCACAGCAAGAGCTTCGTTACCCGAGTTCACAGGAACAAGGGCCGAGGACCCCGTACGGTACATTAATAATACCGAGTCGATTTTGGTGCAAGCTCGTATACACCCCTCGGGTTGGTGCAGGGCGGTCGAGCCGCAGTAAAAAGGAACGGCGAGTGTATGGTACGCATCCATAAAAATACTCGACCTATCCTGGGAAGAATTTAGGGTTGAGTTTTTAGAAAATTACAACAATTCCGAAATCCAATCCCAACTGCGCGCCGACATCGTGTCAACACGACAAACGTCTAGACAATCTCTAACGGAATTTGTGCTAGTTAAAAACCAGCAAGCGCGCCGCGTAAATACCGGCCTATCCGAGTCGGAATTGGTAGGTATTATAGCAGGATTAACGCGCGACACTTTCCGAACACACATCCGTCTACAACGGCCATTGACGTTCAACGAGCTACGACGCATCGCAGGCGTTTTGGACC